ACCCAGGAGGCGGAGGTTGCGGTGAGCCGAGATCGCGCCATTGCACTCCAGCCTGGGTAACAAGAGCGAAACTCCGTCTCAAAAAAAAAAAAAGGCACTGTCAATATTATTTTATGTTTGGAAATGCAAAATGTCACCTATTTTTATAATACTACCAAAAATAAAGGTCGACAAAGTCGTCACTGAGACAAAGTCATAGATGAGGCCATAATTCTCACCTGAGACCTTTGGAGCTTGAGATTTTGGTGTTAATTTGGTACACATTTGTTTTTAAAGCTTGGGAAACGGGAATATAGGCTAAAATAAATTCCAAATCTTGACCTAAAGTCTTAGTACTAAACTGCCATCAAAATTATGTGTCAGGAGTAAGAATACAGCAAAAATCACTGGTCTCTTAGAGCTTATACTCTTGGAGATTGCAAGAAAAGTAAAATATGTCAGATGGTGGCATTATGGATCAACGTAATGTGCAGGAAGGAGACAGGGAGTGCCAGATAGGATGGGGGGGTCAAGGAAGGAGCTACTTTTCAACAAAGACCTGAAGAAGGTGAGGGAGGGAGTGATGTGGATATGTAGGGGGAGATCCTCGCAGGAAGAAGAAAGCACACGGTGTGCTCAAGAACAGCAGGGGGATTGGTGTGGTTGAAGCAAGATGAGTGAGAGGGAATAGGAGTTAGGAGACCTGGGTGATGGACGGGTCAAGTGGCTCAGTGACATGATTCACTTACCTTTTTTGGTTGCTCTGCTGTGTTGAGAAGAGTCTCAAGGAGACTATAGGAGGAAGAGGGGACAGGGTAGGCCAGTACACCCATCAGGTGAGGGGTGATAGTGCCATGGGTGGTTGGGGTGGTCAGGTGCTGGTTATGTTTGATGGTAGAGCAAACAGGATTTATTGACAGGCAGAATGTGGGAGAAAGGAGTCTGGGAGGATCTAGTAGCCTAAGCAACTGGAAGAAAGGGGGTCATCCAGTGAGATGGGAAAGACCGTAGGAGCAGGATGTTATGTGTTTTATCTATGTGCATGTTAATGATTCCTGGAAGCCAGGTCCACTTGAATCACTTAGTAACAGCACGTATTTTATCCAGTTGTAGATATTTATCATAACTTCCTCACCAGATTGTAAATGACTCCAAGGATAGGGAAGAACTTTGATTATACCCTACAGCCCCTGCTCTTAGTGGCAAAAAGGCTTAATAAACATTCTGTGAAGGAATAACTTACCGCGGCTAATGGTGGGACAGCAGGGGATGGGCTGACAATCATGACTCAACCCCACCCATCCCTTGCTGTCCCACCATTAGCCGCATAAGTGGAGTCATAAGAAACTCCACTTAGATCTTGGTTAAATAACCTCTTTGGGTTTGTGTGTCTTTACATGTGCAAGATTTTGAAGATCATATTGTCAAGAAAAAGTATTGGGCCCCTGCTAAGCACGCCACACTCTGCTAACCCAGGGGCTCTAAGATGCTGCCCTCAAGATGCTCAGGGTCAAGCTACAGACTGGACCAGAGGGACCTGAGGATTTTTTACAAGTTCAATGCCCAGACAACCCCTAAGGCCCGTTTCATCCGCCAATTATTTGTGTAGATCATTCGATTCCTCCAGTGGACTCTTCCTGAGAGGATGTTCCCAGCCTTCCCCAAAAACTCCATGACAGTGGACCAGTTTAGCAGCATCTTAGACCCTGTAGAATGTATTGTTAGGCTTCCCCCATCTTCCTGTGAAGGATTAATAAAAGAGTCTTGGTCATTTCTGAGATTTTTGGTTTAATCAATGAAAGAGCCTGGTGTGGGAAATGAGCCCAGCACCCATTCTGTCAAGGTGCATGGACAAAAAGCAGCCTTTACAGGGTGCTGAGGTGTAATCCCAGCACTTTGGGAGGCCAAGGCAGGTGGATCACTTGAGATCAGGAGTTCAAGACCATCCTGGCCAACATGGTAAAACCCCATCGACACCAAAAAATACAAAAATTAGCTGAGTGTGGTGGTGCGCACCTGTAGTCCCAGCTACTCAGGAGGCTGAGGTGGGAGGATCGCTTGAACCCAGGTGGTGGAGGCCACAGTGAGCCGAGATTTTGCCACTGCACTCCAGCCTGGGTGACAGAGTGAGACCTTGTCTCCAAAAAACAGAAAGCAGCCTTATGGCTGAAATAAGGAGCTAAAGGGACTGACAGTTGCATTCTGTTGGCACAGAACACATCTGGGATGATAATGGGCCCTTTCAGTGTAAGGCGTAGATCCGGGCATTCTCTCTGACTGGCCAGCTACTTGACAACCCCTCCTACTGTTTACAGGGAACATGGAAGCAATTAAAACTTGTGGCCAATGAGAATGTAACCATCATTTGGGGACTCAACTGGGCCTGTGTGTGTGT